TTAGAAAAATTTGCACAAAAAAATATATATGTTATTCTCATTCGCATTATAAATGAGAGGATATGAAGATTTAATTTTGAAAAATATCAAAAAACACGCCTTCCCTTGGGCGTATCACATATTTTATTTATTTTATTTTTTGGTTATTATTTTGAATTTAACACCAATTATTGTAAAATAGGCCATATAAAATATAAATGGGGAAAATATCCCATTTTTAAAATGGGATCTACTCATTTATCTCAAGACAATATGACATCAATTTTTACTCCAACTAATACCAAACTAAATCGAAATATATTAAGTTTTTGATCATTTCCTTATCTAAATAAATTTAAGCGAATATTAGTAAAATAATATGGTGATTTGAACCAAGATAATCATTTTTAGTCTTTTTTTAATCATGATTTAGGCTTAATTGACTCGACACAAAAGATGATTTAAAATAAATTTATAATATAAAATATGATAGATTTCAATAAGACTATTCGACAGTTTCAAATAGACTCATCTAACGGCCACCAACGTCTCTCTTAAAATCATTCACATTATATCGTGTCTTCATACACAAGTTAGTTTTAATTAGGGAAAATTTATGACCTTAAATGTGAACAAAGAATTTCAGACTTACTCCACTTTTATATTTTACTTTTCTTTCTATTTTAGTTTTTCTTTATTCATTTTTAATCGTATTTCATGTAGGATAAAGTTTTTTTATTTTTTTTTCAAATTTAACTACATATGATGATGTGATTGAAATGGTTTTTGAAAATAAAAGGTTGTTTCCTGGTCAAGTGGAATAATAATCATTAAAAATTGGAGCCCATGAGGCCTTGACCATGACCCATTTGAAAATTCGTGGGAGCTCAACGTGCTCGTTAGGCTAACGCCGAATTAACTGGACCCTGTGCTCACCCTCTTCGCGTTACCGCACCTTTAGTTCGGTTCGTCGCCGGCGGCAAAGGCGCTCGCCGTGCCACTTTTGAAGCTACCCACATGCTGTGATTTAGAAAAAGAGAGGGAGAGAGAATGGCAAAGAGGCGACTTCTGTTGCTGTTAAAACCCTTCGATTTGTACCCAGTCAGACCCCCAAATGGTCTGTCTGGCATCACAAACCCAAAGGTATCTTCGTGAGAAAAAAAAACCTTGAAATAACTATCAGTTTGATGGGTAGTACATTTTTAGCAATGATGATAGTTCATATTTCTATCCCATTGTCGAGGGAGTGATTAATCAGCTTATGCATGGTAGAATCTCACCCATGTCAAGTATCTGTTTGATAATATGTCAAAGTTAACGGCATTGGCTGCAGTTAGTGTATATTGATTCATGGTAAAAATATATGCTTGAAGTTGATGTTTTTATATGAACCCTAAATCATGAAATATATCACTTTCGAGTATTTCTGTGAGAAACCAACAAACTTAACTTGGATATGTAACTTTGTATTGCTTTGAACTTGAGTAGATGTCTATAACAATGGAACAAAACCATGATCACTTCTTCTTTGTCTCTGAGCATTCGATGGCCTAACAAAATGGTAAACAAGGATTCAGGCACTGTTTGCCACGTTATTTGGAGAAGGCTTTGATCAGTAGTTAGAACAAGAAATGCAGTGTAATCATTTCTCAGGGTAGGAGTGTTTATAAGCACTTAATATTGTGTCGTAAATGGAACTTTGGCTTTCATCTTGTTTGTGGATTGCTCACATGGTTTGTAGGCCAATATTGCATGGAGTCCTGCACACTTTTTTAGTGATTCCTTACTATGAATTGGGAATATATGTCCTATCCCCCATCATATGCCAAGACTCCCTACAAACTTTGGAACAATTGTAGTACAATCATTGGGACCTAACGCTTTGATTCTATCCAGTTAAAGAATTGTAGTTTCCGATTTCCTTGTAATGTTACTTGGCTCTCTTCCACCTCTCCCGCCCTGAGCTTGACTTCTCCAAAGCCAAATAAGCCTTATGATATCTGAACTGAATGCTTTCAAATGAAATCAAAATTTCTTGAGGCTAGTGCAGCTCTCTATCCGACTAAATCATTCTCTTCATTCTTAAATGGTATGAGCAGGATTATAATCCTATTTGATCTGTATATTTACCAAAATATCTTATTTTCTATCAACTTCTTCTATTGTAATCTTCAAAATAATAATGGGTTGATTGATGATGCATCATCATAAATTAAATATTCTCGTGATTTAATTTGTCTAACATTATTGTTTTTGTTACCAAGCTAAAATTTTGTAAAATCAATTCTGCAAAAATTGAAAAATGTCCCTTCCCCACCCCAAATTTTCAATGTTCTGTATTTTGGACTTGTATTTAAAGATGTTACGATCCTCTATATTGGGAAGTGTTATTCATTATATTAAGATCTTGATCTCTGGTTGGTAGCTACCATTTTGGTTGACACATCTTGCATTAAGGGTATATTTGTCCATTGTTTTCTTCTCTAGTATGATATCCAGCCCTTTAGTTGCTTTGGTGTTCATTTTTGTAATATGCTTCCCATTGTAGACATTGCAGGTTTTAAGTTATCTGGACGGCAGGCGTAAGGTTCACAAGGATGCCATAAACTTCTGTCAGAATATATTGCAGAAAAAGTCTGTTGATTGGAAGGCTGTTTTCCGTAGTAATTTATCACAGCCAATCCATAATGTGGATCTGGTGGTTACTATAGGCGGTGATGGTACACTATTACAGGCTAGCCATTTCATGGATGATTCAATTCCAGTTCTAGGAGTGAATTCTGACCCCACACAAGCTGCAGAGGTTTGCTTCTTGGTCTTGCTATATTTTAATTTGTGGTTTTTACTGCAACGCTATTTTTTGTGGCTATCTATCAATCCATTATGGAACTAATATTTTACAAGTTAATACCACAAATTTATTGCATTTATTAATCATTTTCTGTTTTGCTATTTTTTTTAGGTGGAAGAGTTCAGTGACGAGTTCGATGCTACAAGAAGCACTGGTTATCTTTGTGCAGCAACTGTCAACAACTTTGAACAAGTAAGAGTACATTAAGTAAATTGGGAAATTGGGAAAACAAAACTAGTTACTAGTCAGTAATTTAACTGCTTGGCTTTGAAGCGAGTCCTGCAGCAGCCAGCTTTGCTAGAACATTTACTTTTCCATATAAGCCTGACTGATATGTTCGGTTTGTATCAAAGTAATATAGTTTTTTGCGTGTTTCACTCCCCCGTAAATGTAGTTGTTGCTGCCATGTGGTATCTTTTTTCAGCGCCTATATGATACTTTAAATAAGTATCCAGGTAAGAGGGCGTTAACTGACGCTACACTCCTGAGGTCAAAATTCACTTCAAAGTTTTTGCATAGTTCTCTGAACAGAAGCTTTTCTTTCAGATACTAGATGGCATCCTCGAGTGTGGCAAAATTCCTTCTGAATTGTCAAGGATGTCAATAAGAGTCAACTCCCAGCTTGTGTCAAGTTATGCTCTTAATGACGTTTTGATTGCCCACCCATGCCCTGCAACAGTTTCTCGATTCTCGTTCAGGTAAGGGGCTACCTTTGGAGCATTAACAGTCTATACAGTCATATATGTGATAATTTGTGATTGTACGAGTTGAATGTTGATCAATGTCCTCTCTGTTGCCAGAATTAGGAAAGATGGCCAGCCATGTTCCCCTCTAGTGAATTGTCGATCAAGCGGTCTAAGAGTCTCAACAGCCGCTGGATCAACTGCTGCAATGCTCTCAGCTGGGGGATTTGCGATGCCCATATTATCTAAGGATCTCCAGTATATGGTAAGGGAGCCTATTTCACCAGGAACAGGCAACTCTAGCTTAATGCATGGAGTAGTAAGATCTGACGAGTCCATGGATATGGCATGGTTCTGTAAACAGGGTCTTATATACATTGATGGTTCACATGTTGTTTATTCTATCCAACATGGTGATACCATTGAACTATCTACAAAGACTCCAGTTTTGAAGGTTTTCTTGCCTTGCCACTTATCATCATAGAACATATGTGCAATATAGTTGCAATACCTTTGCTGCAGATGACGTGGAAATTCTGTGTATCTCTGTGAAATACCGAAAATGTGAATATGAAATGGAGATCTTTTCAATACATAATGGTTTCTTTTTTGATTTTTTTTTCCTCATCTTGGTTTCTTACGTTGTTTTTGTCTAGTTGAATTGAGTTGTCGAGTTGGTTCATATGTTCTGTCATTTCTAGCCCCTCTTTTCATTGTCAGTCATTGGTGGAGCAAACTCTGTGCATAGTTGCAAACCAACATGGCAAGACAACAGATGCATCTGAAGATAAGTTTGACAATGTAAGCGATATGATGAATGACAACTGCAGTGAGTTAACCATCAGTGGAAGTATGAAATACATTCATCCTTAATAGATTGTTAAGCTGGGATGATCTCCCTTTTATCATGAAAACTGGCATTTTTCCATTATATTGATCAATGTCAGATACTGGCAAGGTGGAGTACTAGTGATTCAAGAACCTACTGTCCAATCTAAAGCATTTGAGTTCTGTACTTAAGATCGATATTTCTGACTTCACATGATATCCGAATAGTCTCATGGGGTATTCCCGTAAAAGGCAGCTCAGTATACGTAACTCCCACCATCACAGCGTTTGGGGAGAGTTAGTTACATTTATGCCATGGAATATTCACATACATTAACAAATATGTCCCTTTGTTGTGTTTGAGTAAGGCAAGAAATAGTGGACTCTTAACATAACTAGTTAACTACTATGTTCAACAGTGACTACAAGAGCAAGAGGAAAATCAGCTTCTTCGTACCATCGTCTATTTGAACTGCTGTCGGCTAACCATCCACCTAAAAAATATTCACTATATGCGAGGGAAGGAACCAAAGTTTACAATGCAAAGTCAAAAAGCTGGTCCATGGTTGAGTTTCACTTTTTCTTTTCCGCAGAAGCACAGAGGAGAGGAATGGTTGCTTGGAGTTTGTGTACTTCAGTTATGGCATGCCCTGTTCTTTCTACAATCTGGAAAATGAAGAAGTGATGAAAATTTAGCACAGGAATGGGAGAAGGTATTTCCAGCAAGTTGAGTTTGCAGCTTACGTGAACATTTGAGGCCGGCTACGAGAGAGCTGAGGCCGCTTTATTGGTGAAAGGATGAGATTCCTCAAAGTCATTGAGGGGTTGCTTGCTCCAGTTCCAGCTCCAAAAACAGGGCGACCACCAGGCCTTCTGTTTCCAGAATCAACAGGAATTGCTGATGGTTTTGCAGGTGAGCCGCTGGAGATGTCAAATGGGCCAGAGTTGGAACTATGCTGTCTTGCTGGTGGCCAAATATCTTCTCGAGGCCCTGGAGTGTTAGGAGTGAGAACCGACCAATCTGCGACAAATAAGTCAACTAGTATTTCTCGGAAGAATACAGCCCGCAGCACATGTTATGAAGTATTTAGAAAGCAAGCAGTACTTTTTATGTCAAACTAGACGATTCTCATGACAACTCTTCAATGCTATAAACAGAACGGGATTACCTTTTCTGATAGGATCTCTGTTATCCATCATGTTAGCTGGATTTGAGAAGAAATCGGGCTCAGTTCTTGAGTAGAAGTTGTTTGCTGGCTGAATGGCCGCTCGTTTTACCGACTCATATTCGCTTCTCAATTGATCATACATTTCATCAAGTTTTCTCTTTTGCCTGGTAGTTTGGAAATCATAGTTTGTGTCAACGTTCCACTTATGAAAGTATAACATATCAGGTCTTATAAGGTTTCTGCACAATAATGTCAGAGACAGACCTAGATTTCTCAGCAAATTTTTCTTGGAGCTCTTGCTTGTCTTTGGACAAGCTCTCAATCTCTTGTTCCATCAGCTGGCACCTCTTCGCCATTTTCTGGTATGCAGTATGCACCTGCTCCAGTTTTTCGGTAAACTTTTCTTGCATTACTTCACATTTCTGCCTGCACTGAGCTACAATTCTGTTCATCTTGAATTGCATCTCCAGTTCCTTTTGGCCAATGTAAAACATCACACTTCTGTATGCACTCTTCATCACTGTGTTTGTTCAAGGAAAGATGCAGGGGGCCAATTTGTATGCTGACAAGAATTTTCAAATAACAAGTGCTCTAGACCAATTTTAGCATTAGAAATATAGAGGTACTATATATACGTTTATATATCTAGTTTAAATCATACAGGATACAAATCTGTGGAGATATCCCAGCCATTGCCATCTGCAGGAGAGTATGTAAAAAATTTCAGGAAAAAGAATTGCCAGAAAGATGAGTAAGTTCCAGAAACATGATTAGGTCATTAAAAGCACAAAGCATATGGTGATTTTCATTTGAAATGGACTGATGCCTCAGATCAAATGAATTATTTGAAGAGTACTTGCTTACATTTATCCATTCATCATTTGGATTGATGTCCACAGGTTTCATGAGACTGACAGATAAAATACAGCATTCAGTTAAAACGTAGTCAAATGAGATGAATGCTAATGATAACTAAAATGAAGAATCACAAAGTTGTCCAAAAATTTCTGGTTCCAAACCTGAAGTGCTTAAGACTGAATATTCATATATGCATATAATCTTTCCACTCAGAAAATATGCACAATGCACAACGGAAGTTGCATTTTCTTGCTTCTCATAATCCTTATATATACCATTAGAGCTTATGTTTAACAATTCACAGGCAAGAAAACCAAATAGAAATTCCAAATTTCCCATAAAAACCCTCCTACCTTTTAGAAAGCACTTGATCACAAATGGGGCAAGCTGCATCATTACTGAGGATTTTGCTGGCATCTTCGTTGCCTTTTAACTAATTAAGGAAACTTTGACCTTATGCACCAAGTCCCCATAATTGCAAGAAATATGCATTTACTGGTATCAAAACTACCATAAGCATTAGGATACACAAGAGGTGACCACAGGTGGTGGATATGGCTCGTCCTTCCAATTCCCGCCAGCACGCATTGCATCTCATTTCAACCGTCAGAAATGATTTTCAATGTTATGGTGCATTTGCGGCTTGCAGTCCTGTAATCACTATTCACAACCAAACATCAGAGCAGGATTCCCATGACTGGTTTATAATTCTGCCAAATGTACTGAATTTCTCAAATTTACAGCTTCACATAGGGTTATCAAGTAAAGACTGCTGCTATGAGCAAACTCATCCTATCATTCACAACCTGAACACTGTACTGAATAGAAAGTGCTAGTCAGTATGGGGGTTTGAACCTCAAGATGCCCCCACTGGTCCACACTAGTTCGCAATTAGGACTGTGACACAACATCCCCATCAGGCTGATATTTCTCTGATAGATTGAGCAGAAAGATTTTGAAATGTACGTCCATTCATCTACTACTTTTCTCTATGAATGAATTGAAAAAATGATCAGAAGTTAAAATTTTCAAGCTGTCCACTTTAACTGGAAATTCAGCAATTCTGACAAAGTCAGACCCGATAACAAATTTCCACCCAAGTTACCAAATCAACAGCATTGAATGTCGTTTTCTATTCTAAAGTCCATGCTTAGAAATGCCAAAATAAAGGATTAATTAAAATTCAATTGAGAAGGGAGCAATCGCAAAACTCAAAAGTATATTTTTCCAACAAGTAACATCAAAAGAGATGTTTTTGCATTAAAAATCTCTAGTACACCTAACTATGCAAATGCTAAAAGTGTCCACCCAAAAAAAGGGTTTCTTGTCTTGGTGTGTTTTCTGTGAATTTCAAAAGGCCAAATCTTTAACACTCGTGTCTTAGTTTCTTAGTGGGGACATATATGCAATAATGTGTACAAAAAATTGAGCTAGCTTCTTAGAAACAAATACTCTAGAGTTAAGAAATTCCCATGCTAAAAACGAAAATTTGCAAACACATAATAAGTCCCACAAATTACTTCTAAAAAGCTTAACAAAAACTTTATCAAAACGGTATTTAAGAAAAAGAAAATATAATTTCCAATCATATAATATATAACTAACGTTATTTGATTTTCAATCACATGATAAATACAACAAAGTCAAAATTTGTGTTAGGTTATGCTAATTGTCCTCAAAAACGGAAAAAATAAAAATGCTTCAGGTTCATTATTTGCCTTCATTTTCCAGGCCAAAAAATAGACAACCAGAAGATTGTGTGCTTACAAAATTTTGTTCACGCCTAAAAAACTAAGACAAATACTTCACAAAATTGTACTATATTTTCGCCCTTCTTTGTAACACTTCCGAGCTCCAACCAAAATCTGAAAGTTCTAACCAAATAGACAATTAATCTTTCACAATCGCACATTTAATATGGTGGAACATAAAAATGAACTAGAATGATGAACACTATAAATACCTAAAATTCCAAGTAATCTTGAAGCAACCTTGAATTTGAAGTCCGATCAATCGTAATCAATAAAGTAAAAACCTAACTGAAGCTAAAGTACTAAGATCTGTGCGTAACTTCAAAAATCAACCTGCAAAATCATAAAGGAAAGGAAATAGATCAAATTACCGAGGATTTGAATTTCCAATCGCAAATTCTAAACTTGAGGGCTATATCCGAGGCTTTCAGCTCTTCGAATCAGAAAACAGAAATTCCAAAAGATTCAAAGCGTAATTCAAATTGTCGCGAAGTCTCTCTCTTTCTCTCTCTCCGTGTCTGTATGTGCGCTTCTGTGTTTTGCTTTATATATAGTCATTTTAAGTTCGGCTAAAATGGCGGCAAACCGCTGTTCCTCGCAGAATTCGAACGGTGACGGGCCAGTTCCCGTATCAACGGTCCGGACCGGTTTATAATTTCTTTTCGAAATGATCCGAAATATATTGTACCTTAGATTGTGAATGTTGTAAAAGAAAACTTCTTGTTTGATCAGTAACAAAAAGTTAAAAAGTATTTTCTTATTTACACTTTTGTTCCTTGAAGTTATTTTAATTACATATTTGTACAATTAGAATGACCCAAACAACTCTAAATTTAAAAGAGAAACTTTTGCTATATGCATTTTTTAAATACCTATAAAACAATTTTGAAGATTTTTTTTATTAGGAAAAGGATTTGAGCAGAAAATTGGGGTGGAATCTCTGCTTGAGTGTGACCATAGCAGTCTAAACCCAAGAGTAAAACCCACCAGTAGAGCCTAGACAGCAAAAAATCACGATCGATCTCAAAGTTTGATTTAAGTTTTAACCTAATTCCGAACCGCGCGACTACCAATAAAAATAATGAAAGTCTCTGTAAATCAAACCATACTTGCTAATCTTAACAATTTTAAACTGAGCACATTAAGCCACGAACCACTCGTCGATAATTGTTATGATCATTTCTATAGATTTTATAGTTTTTTCATTTGATTACTTTTTTAGCACTTTTTAACTTTTTATTTTTAAGCATATTTTTAAAATGATTTCTTACATTTTTTTATTTTTGAGCACCTGGTTTTTTTTTTTATTATGTCAAAACTTAATAGAATGTAGAGTTATTAATATGCATATAATGTTGAATTAATAATTTCCCAAAAATATTGTACAAAAAAAATAAAAATAAAAAACTAAGCAGGAGCGAGTGTCCCTCCACGCCTTCAGGAAGTGTAGGGGTCGCGTGATAGCGAAGGTGGTCCCCACCTATTTGCCAGTAGTCAATAACTACCGCGTGTTCAACCGCCTCACCTTGGAGAAGAAAATATCAGTTTTCGTCTCCACATTATAATCCCTGCGACGAATCAGTACATGTCCTTAAACCCTCCCAGTGGATCCACTTGTCTCTCTCTCTCTCTCTCTCTCTCTCTCTCTCTCTCTCTCTCTCTCTCCCCTTTCGGTCCATTTATTTTCAGTTTAAACCCCAGTGATCTCAATCTCAGTTCTTCAAACTCAATCTAGGGTTCTCAATTTCTGATAAATAGTGGAGAAGATTTTTTGGTTTTTTGCAGAGAGAGAGTGAGAGTGGGATGAAGATTCAGTGCAACGTGTGCGAGGTAGCGGAGGCGAACGTACTGTGCTGCGCGGACGAGGCGGCTCTTTGTTGGGCTTGTGATGAGAAGGTTCATGCTGCTAACAAGCTCGCCAGCAAGCATCAGAGGCTGCCTCTCTCTAGCTCTTCGTCTCAGATGCCCAAGTGTGATATATGTCAGGTATTTAGCTCAATTGTCAGTAGGTGGTGTTAATTTCAGGAGTTTCAGATGAATACACTGTGTATCTCTCTTTTTATAATTGTGTTTGTGTTAATATATGGGAATAATTATATTTTAATCGGAAATAACGGCTTTTTTTTTTAATTAATGGGAAAATATTTCTATAATGTATCTCATCTCATGTAAGACAGTTTTGTTCTCATGTTACTATATAATTGTATCATTATGTGGGTTTGTTGGACTAATTGAATGGTTCAGTATCTCGTGTTTTTTAAATTAACTATTATCCCAATTTGATTTTCGTGGTTGTTTTTCTTTGATCGGTGTAGTACTGGTACAGGGTGGACACTTTAGTGTTCAAAGATGGATGTGGAGTTGATATAGAAATACATTATTTTGTGGATTTAATTTTAATCCAAAGGGAATTTTTTTTGAGGTTCGATAATTGTCGGTACTCCTGTGAGATCTTTGAAATCATATGAGCAGATGAATTTTCTTGCCACACTTTTACTTTGAATCAGTAGACGTCATAAGGACAGTTCAAAAAGTTACCTACGTAATTGGTCTGTTCGGGACTACTGTCTACAACTGATAGTGGAAAGCCTTACACCATACGTGCATCGAATCTCTATTATATATTATTCCTCTTTGGCTTAGGAACTTCAATAAAATCGTGGTGTAAATTATTAATAATGAGCAGAGTTGAGAATTTGTGGCTGAGAACTCTTCTTGTGATAAGTTGTTAAAGTGTAGGTTAAGAACTCCCTTACCCTTTTCACCCTTTTAATGATGTAGTTTATGCTTGCTTTTATAGATAAGCTTATCTGTTTCCTGAAGAAACAATTGAGTTTTTAATCTTCTGAGTGCTGATAAAGAAATAGGTATATCATACAGGAAGCAGTTGGCTATTTCTTTTGTCTAGAAGATCGAGCTGTACTCTGCAGGAAATGTGATGTTGCAATACACACAGCTAATACCTATGTTTCAGCTCACCAGAGGTTTCTGCTTACTGGAGTAAAGGTAGGTCTTGAACCAACAGAGCCTGGTGCATCCTCAGCTCTGGTGAAGTCACCCTCTGTTGAGAAAATGTCAGAACCCGAATCTCGCACTCTGTCTAGAAGGGTTAGTTCAATGTCATTAGCTGGACAATACAACAAATTATTACCTGTCCAAGTTAGTGGAGTTGGGGATTTTGTGCCTCCCAAGTTGCCATTTGCTGGAGGTTCTGGATCTGGAAGTAGTCCACAGTGGCCGTTAGAAGAATTTTTTGGACTAACTGAATTGAATCAGAGTTCTGGGTATATGGATACTGGCTCATCCAAGGTATGAACATCTATACTTACTGTACATTATTTTTTGTGATTGAATGCATTTAGGATCATTTTTGAGCTTCCAGGGGACTTTGATTTTTATGGCATCAATTTGTTTGTGAGTGCAAATAGTTGTTCTTGCCGAATGGCCTTAGATGAATATCCCTATGAGCATTTTTACACTTTTCTGTGTCTGTCTGTCTGTCTCACATTTCTCTGTTCCCTCTCTCTCTCTCTCCCCCTCCCTACACACATGCTTATTGCGCAAGCACCCACCTCTGTCACTCACCCACATAGTTGCTGCATTGAGGTCAATTACCAGATACTAAGGTTTGAGATCCTCTAATCACGGTGGAATATTTTTTCTTTGGCACTGTTAACATAACTTACGGAAATAAGCAGGCTTGCAGGGTAGGCTTTACAAGCAATGCAATGGAAAAATTTTGATTTAACTTGATCTTAGCTGGATCAGTTAATGCAGGCTGCTTTGAGTGTTCAATGTTACTGGTATGATGGTGAATTTGAGTGCCTACTTTTGAAATAGAAAATGAACTGCATTTCAGTCTATGATATTCGACGTTGTGTGCAGCCAATTAGAGCTGGTGAGCTCTCATATAATCTTTCTGAAAGCATCACCATATATAGTGGTTGTCCACATGCACGAGCAGTAGTGACCATACTTGGCTGCATTGATGACTTGCCAAAGGTTGCACTTGGCATGGCTATCTAGGAGCAGCTGACGGGCATTTGCCTAAGATATGTTTAACCAGCTTACTTCCTTTCTTCGAATGGAAAGCCCTTAAAAATTATCTGAAGAAATAGCCGAGGATCTACTCTATTAAAGAGTCCCTGCAATTGAGCCCTTATGGATAAGCTGAAGAATTCGACCTTAATTTAGCCAGAAGTCATGGTTCACCTTATCAGTGGTCATCTTGCACAGAAAGTTTGGAGGACAAAAAAAATCCTTTCTTGACCTCGTTCTAATGAAAATATGGGTTGGAAGAATCTCATTGGGTGTTAAAAATAACAAATATCCTGCATAGTTGCCTTATTTTTTCCACTACACTCCGTGGTGTTACAAATCTTTTTCGCGTGCCAAAATTGGTAAATTGCTGTCGGAGTTCAGTGAACTCGAAACCAATTTGGCCTTATGAATTTTTCTCCTTCTGATGAAAATGTAATGTGCAGTTCCTGAGAAATATAAATAGATTTTTAAAGATGGCTATTGAGGTCCAGTAAGCTAGGCTGCATTTAATTTTTATGATTTTGCTTCTTAAAGTTGCTGCAATAGCGTATTTGGCTTGTGAATTCATTTAAATCTAATTTTGTTATCAAGTTTCTGAAGAATGTTGTTTCCTAATATTTTTGTTAAATCCTGGTTCTAGTGAAACTGGATATCCAAGTGCTACTATTAGTTTTTAATTGTGAAACATTGAGATTAGGGGTCACTCTTTCTGGCAGATGCCTGTGAGTTTCAACCTCATTCCTCCCCTCCCCCCAAAAAAAAAATTTGAAACATTTTGTTTGCTATTATTCGAAATTCATTGCCATGTACCTCTAGGTGTAGGTAATAGCCTATGCTGCCTCTAATTATGTAAATTCCTTGCATGAATCTACCAGGCTGATAGTGGCAGGCTTGGAGATTCAGACTGCTCCCCTATTTTAAGAGCCGCTGAGGTGAAACTGGACGGTGAAGAGTGCTTGGGTATGGTACCAGATGCATCGTGGGCGGTGCCACAGATTCCTTCCCCACCTACAGCCTCAGGGCTTTACTGGCCAAAATATGATCGGAATCTGTCTGAAGCTGCAGTCTTCGTGCCGGACATATGCTACTCACAGAACCTTCACCGTTATCATCCAAATGGTACTACTTCAAAACGGCGTAGGCAACTGTAATGTGTCTACTTCTATTTGGTTTCTAAGGGTTATAGTTGCACCTTGCTAGATAGTGTGTCATCAGTCTTGGAAGTGTATTTTCATTTGCAAAAATCAATAATCTGTGTGAGCAAATTCTCGTGTGTTGGAGTATTACCTTCATCTGTAAGTAGAACTGTCTCATTTCAGTATATGGTTAATTAGGGTTGTAAAACTTAGGAAATATTTCAATTTGTTCTGAGGTGGCTATCCAATGGTCGATGCTACTGTTAAATTGGATCCTAGGCTTAATTCAGTGGAGACAATCTTCTACTGTGTGTGAGGGGATATGCTAAATCAGTTGGATTCACTAGATTGAATTGTTGCTGGATGATTAGATTGAGCAGTATTGAAGATTTTTTTATTATAATTTGGGGGATTTCAATAGGTAGAACAAGAAACCTTAAGGGTAGTTCAAGTAGTAACAGAGATGAACGGTAAACTCAAACGTCTTGAGTTTGAATTTTGGTAACCCTTTGTGGTCTGACTATGAGGGATAAACCCCTCATGAATACCGTAATTCTAGTGTGGATGATTTGTCTTTAACCGGATTAGAGAAGGGATCAGTCAAGGTGTGCGTAAACTAGTCCAATGTTAAACTAAAAAAAAAAAAATAGTTGGAATAAAGTTGCATTAGAAGGCAATTCTAGTGTACTTATAAGAGAGAGTGACTATGTTTTAGTGGCCTAACTTGGGTTGGTCAAACTGAAGTTACATTGTTTGGGATTTCTGGTGCTTGTATTGGATTTGAATAATAAAATTCCAAGAGAGTAAGCAGGTTGAGATTTCGGATTGTTTGGGACCCAGTCCAAACTTGCCTCAATGACTTCACTAATTCAGGTTCAACCTAAAATAAATCCAAATTAAATCTGCATTTTAGATTGATAATCCTATAATCGAACCCAAATCTTAAACTAGACCAAGTTAAATTTCAATTAGAGAATTGAATCCAACTTCGTCTTTAATTTTTAGCTCTGAGTTCGACCAAATTGAAAAGTTAAATATACATAGTACTTGGATTGATTTATTCGGTTTCTGGTTGAGTTTCATATTAAAAATATCAAAATATTAAATATGACAAATATCAAATCTAAACGTTTAGATTTTGGACCTGATTATGGTACCGAAAAATTAAATTACGGTATTATACCGTAATTTATTACATGTGTGAATATTTTTATCGCCGGTGTTTTTATTACTATTGTGGTATTTAAAAAAAGTGATAAAAATAGTTATCACAACAATAGTAAAAATATTACAACAGTAATAAAAATACTCACAAAAGTAATAATTTTTTGATTATAAAATGATTCATAAAAATTATAAAAATATTATTTAAAATAATAAATTTTAAAGGTATGATACCGAAATTTTTTAAACGGTACTGCAGTAAAATGCATATATTTTTTGTTGTATTTCCCCAAAACAATAACAACTGATTCCCACGTGAGGAAAAAAAAAAATCAGTTGTACGGTATTGTGTTGAGAGTTCACACTACAATTTTTAAATTAGAGGCATAAGTTAATCGGCTCAAATTTACGTTAAAATTATAATTTTTAATAGATTTAAATTTTAATACATAAAAAATAAATTTTAATTAACTCGAATCGAATTTTAATTGACTCTAAATTTTAATATGTAAAAAAATTTAAAAAATAAAAAAGGTCTCATTAAAGATACGCCTATTTAGAAAAAGTGTGGATGAAATTTTTTCATATACTATTGATATACGTAAGGGCATTTATGTAAAATGGCCTCTTTCATTAACGTTGTTAGGAGACAGCCTCCGATTAGGGGTGTCATTAAAATTTCAAAAAGAAGTAGGGGGTGTTATTGAATATATGAATAATTATAAGAGGTGTGAATGAATTTTACCCAATAAAATATTATAATCATATGGATCATGCATGTGTTAAATAAAAGACTTTTGGATCTGTGCATAAAAGATATCGCAAATTGAATAAGAATTTCTTTGAAATTATGTTACGAGATATTTATTCCTGATGAATTTTTTAGTTTTCACGTAAATGACTTATTTTTAATTAAATCAAAATAATAATTAATTAAAATATGCGTAAACTATATTGGACATCTTAAGCATAATACCAAAAAATAAGAACTCTCTTATAAAAATGACCATAGAAGGTTACTAGATTTATGGGTGACAATTTCTGACATGAAAATATGATTCAAGATTGATATAAAATTAGCTGAGAGGTTAACATTTATCATTTATCGAAATGAATCCGTAAATGACACGACTTGTGAATAATTTATATATAGATTACACGGGTTAATATGAATACGATATAAAAATAAATAAATAATTAAATAAATTAAATTAGAATTGATTACTACTCTATACAAACCTATGAATGATACAATATAAAAACATCCAACACAACAAAATTGTCACCTGTAACTAGATCTAGGGCTGACAATTCTTAGCAGGAGTTGTTGTCAACTCCACACAATGAGGTTATGGCGAATATTTCATCTAGACATGTGAGTTATAACTAATTTGATTAGCTTTTTTTTTTTTGTTTGATCAAACTACAATCACTCACACTAACAATGTTCGGGTCATAATAGACTTATAAACACACACATCCTAAGATTATTCGATGTGAGATAACTCCAACCCCAACCACCCCAGGGCCCTAGAGACACCTGACTCAAGGAGGAAGGCATCCGAACCCACCACCTGACGCCCCCACTAAACACAAACATGGGTTCTGTTTTTTTTTTTTTTTGATCAAACTACAACCACTCACACTAACGGTATGAGTCTTGTGAGGGCCACAGTAGACCTATAAACAAACACACAACCTAAGCTAGATGTAATTTATAAATAAATCTATACAAATTTAAGTATAAACAATTCATATTAAATTTAGATATAAATTTGACAAAACCAAATTTACTATAATCACTAATTAAATTTTAATATTACACGTTTTAAACATGGTAAGAATTCAATATTATCATCAATCTACCTCTGCTATGTTGGAATTTATATATATATAAGATATGATTCAATAAATTTATTTGACGGTTTTAAATAAACTTATCAACAACCACCAATATCTATCTCAAATTTATTCATATTGTACCGTACTTTTAAGAACGGGTTACCTCTAATATAGTATAAAATAAGACATATTTTAATAAATTCATTCAACGATTTCATCTAACGATCACTAACATTACCTTTAAATTTTCATCATGTCTTTATGCAGAAGTTACCCTCAATTCACTACAATAAAAAATATTTTTTGCGACGATTTTTAATATGTTGCAAAAAATGTACTATTAGCGACGATTTTATAATGTTGTTGCAAATTTCAATTTTGTTAATTTTTTTTGCGATGTTTTTTTAATAATGTCGCAAAACAAGTGATTTCCTCCTAATTTTTTTTAGGAGGAAGAAATGGTGGGAATTAGTTAATTGATTTTTCGCAACGTTTTTAAAAAATGTCACAAATAAATTTTTTTCGTGATTAAAAGATTTAAAAAAAACTATTAAATTGATTTTTTGTGACGTTTTTTAAAAACGTCGCAAATAAACTTTTTACATTAATAAAATATTAAAAAAAAATTAATTAATTTTTTGCGATAAACTTTTTAGCTGAATAAAAGATTTAAAAATAAAACAATTTAATTGATTTTTCACGTCGTTTTTTAAAAACGTCGCAAATAAACTATTTACCTGAATAAAAGATTTAAAAATAAAATAATTTAATTGATTTTTCGCGACGTGTTTTAAAAACGTCACCAATAAACTTTTAAGTGAATAAAAGATTTAAAAAAAAATAATTTAATTGATTATTCGCGACGTTAGAAAACGTCGCCAATAAACTTTTTACATTAATAAAAGATTTAAAAAAAATAATTTAATTGATTATTTGCGACGTTTTTAGAAAATGTCGCAAATAAACTTTTTACGTGAATAAAAGATTTTAAAAAAAGAATTTAATTGATTATTCGTGACGTTTTAGAAAACGTCGCCAATAAACTTTTTACGTGAACAAAATATTTAAAAAAATAATTTAATTGATTTTTCGCGACAGTTTTAAAAAACATCGGCAATAAACTTTCTACGTGAATAAAAGATTTAAAAATAAAATAATTTAATTGATTTTTCGCGACGTTTTCTAAAAATAAATTTTTTACGTGAATAAAAAATTTAAAAATAAAACAATTTAATTGATTATTCAGGACGGTTTTTTAAGAACGTCGCCCATAAATTTTAACATAAATAAAGAAATTTTCAAAAAATAATTTAATTAAGTTTTCACAAAAAAACAATAATTTAATTAAGTTTTCGCGAAAAACGTCGCCGATGAATTTTTACGTAAATAAAAAATTTATTCAATGAACACTCAATTCATCAAATTAACATTCAAATTATCAAATTAACATTCAAAATTAATCAAATAAACTTTCAATTCCATTCGATGAATACTCAATTCGTCAAATTAACTTTCAAATTATCAAATTAACATTCAAAATTAATCAAATAAACTTTCAATTTCATTCAATGAACACTCAATTAGTCAATTAACATTCAAATTACAAATTAACATTCAAATTTATCAAATTGACATACAATTTCATCAAATTAACATGTAATTTCATCAAATCAACACCAAAGTAATATGTAATTTCATCTAATTAAAATTTAATTTATCAAATTAAAATTCAATTCATCAAATTAATATTCAACTAATCGAATTAACACCAAATTAATATCCAACATCTTCTAATTAACATTCAATTTTTTCTAATAAGTATTTAATTCACTAAATTAACATTCAAATTCAACTAGTTAATATTAAATTAATCAAATAAACTTTCAGTTTCATTCAATGAACACTCAATTCGTCAAATTAATATTCAAATTATCAAATTAACATTCAAAATTAATCAAATAAACTTTCAATTTCATTCAATGAACACTCAATTCGTCAAATTAACATTCAACTTCAATTAGATAACATGATGGCGGGAATTGATAAATTTTAGTTATTAAAGCAAATAAAATAGCGCAAATATTTATTTTTTTGCGACGTTTTTTATAAATACGTCGTAGATAATAATTTTAATTTTTGTTTTAAATAAAAAACTCAAGCTATTGCCCTAAATCGTAGAATAGTCAAAAAGAACTGAAGAAGGCGACTCCAAACCAGACCAAACACCAAGGACCGTGAGCACAACCTCCACCTTCACCACCAACGACTGAGCTCAGCCTCCACCTCCACCACCAACAACCGACTCTAGAATATTTATAAGTTTGTCGGGAATATTAAAAAAATAAATAAAAATTTAATTTGCGACGTTTTTT